TTTTTTTTTTTTTTTTTTTTTTTTTTTTTTTTTTTTTTTTTCCTTCAAGTGTCAAGGCGTTCTTTTTCTAATTAGAAATATTCAAAGGGGGGAAAACAAAATGAGCGGTGGTGCACAAAATTTGTGCAAAAGAAAATGTCAAGGGGGGGAGGGAGGCGAAGATATGGAGTGTAGCATGGTTCAGTATAGAAATGGGCGAAGGGGAGGGGGGGGTGCCATAACATCTTTTTTAACCATGCCCCATTACTGCTTTGCGTTTATGTAGGCTTATCCCCCCCTCCGTGCTCCTGCATATAGGTGTTAACTTTTACCTGCGCTGGGATGAAAATGAATGTGCAGTTGGTGTCATTAAATATTGTGTGCTTACCACTTTGTTATGAAGCACTCTGTTCTTTTGTATGTAATAATGTAGGCATACATTCCTCTTTCACAGTTGCTTATATTTTTCATCCGTGTGTGTTTCAGCTCTCACGTTACACTTTTTGTGTGCTTCCCTCGTTGTGTTTACCTGTTTTGTGTTGCACTTGACACCTCCTGGTTCTTTTCCTCTGCCTTGTTTACCTCTTCGCTGCTCCACCGCTGGTCAATTCACTCCGGTTTTATATTCTTTTTAACAAAAAAAAAAGGTGCGACGAGGGAAAAGGTTTACTTGTGAGACCTGTACGGTGTGGAACTAGCTAAAATTGCAGGGGAAGAAAAAAAAAAAAAAAAAAAAAAAGAGAATTTTGCTAAACGGTTTTATTTTGGCTGGCGAGGGAGCAAATAAGTATGTAGTTGCGTCCTCGTGTATTGGCGTGGCTTCATAGAAGAGGTTGCCTTTTCCCCAACCAAGTTGTCTGTCTCTTTGAAGAACTCACCAATGTTGCAGTTCCGTCTGCGCAGTGTGCCAATGTGGCCCTTTCGGTGTGTCTTGTCCCTTGTTCCCTTTTTGTTATCTCTGGCGAGTTTATGTTTAAGGTGTTCAGGCAATCAATAGGAAAATAAAAAATAAAAATAAAGCGAAAAAGTTGTACGAGGATAGGTGAACAGGACTGTAAGGAGAAAACTGGGTCCTCTTCGACAGATTCCGTGTACGTACACGGAATATGCATGAGATGGTCAAATCGGATAGGGGTGTGATGAAGAGTGGCCCAAACGTGCTGCAGAATGTGACGCAATACGACGAGAATACACGTAGTGTCCTCACGCAGGTAATGCTACATACAGACGTATGCGCATGACCAGGAAAATTAAACACCAGTTGATCAAAAAACAAAAAAAACAAAAAAAATTACACTAAGGAGTACACACGAGTGTATATCTTTTGGACCAGGTATTATTATTTTTTTTTTTTTTCTCGCAAACCTGAAGAACAAGTAAAATTACAGCTTCGTTTACAATCTGGTTTTAGCTAGGCGCTGTGCGTGTGTGTGAATGGGAGAGCGCCTGAGGAGCGGTGGTTATTGGTTTGGCAAGGAGGGGGGGGCGGGTAAAAAATAATGCCACTGCTTCGAAATGGCAAGGTGGAAACGCACATAAGGGTATAATAAACATATATATATATATATCTGCGCGCTGTGTTACGAGGAAATGCCCACAAGGTATGTTTACACATTTGAACATATTCGCGCGGTACACACGATGCGTATGTACACTCTCTTTAACGCGTGTATGCATGTGCACATGTGTACTTGTCGTATGTTTATCATGTTGAAAAAAAAATTCATAAATAGAGCAAAAGGACAAGTGAAAAAAGAACTTTGGCGAAATTGTCCTATGGAAAATTACTCAGAGTTTTTATCAACTTATTATATGAAATGTACACTTTTTCTTGTCCTGTCATGGATTACATATTTGGACAAACAAACGGACGATGGAGCGTTCGACTTTGAATGAGCTAATAAATCCCCTGGGAAAAAAGTACCCATATTAGACAATAATGCATTATCGGACACGAAAAAAAAAAAAAAAAAAAAAAAAATTAATCAGGTGCGGTGATGAGCTGGATATGCCAAATGCGCAGTGGACAGACACACTTCACAGAATCGAAAAAAAAAAAAAAAAAAGTGGAGCCGAAAAGGATCGAGGGTTCACTGCGAAAAGAGTTTATGCAAGCTGTGTTCACCAAAGTGGAATTTATTCAAACGCGCATATGTATGAATCACGCGGTACGTACCCCACTTGGCAACTTCCCTGGAGTCACTTGTAATTGTGTATGTACTGACTTCATTTTGGCGCGCCTCTCTGGTTGAGTCTTTTTCACCTTCTGGGAGAATGGCTCATCGCGCTGAGCATTTACCCGCAGATCGACGCTGAACTGTTTTTTAATTACCCCCTCCCGCGGGGGGGTGAAGAGATTCGCATGGTCAGCAGGAGCGCGTAAGCAGGGTTACACCACCAGCGCTAGGAACGCAGTTCGATTGACCCCTCAGATGGGAAGTATTTACCGGATCAATGATCTGCTAGACAAGGCAACCCAAACGTCTGTTCAAGAGCGTGAGTGGCGTGTATAAGACTTGTCGCGAATGCTTCGCACGTCTGCATACATTTAACGCATCGTTCCGATGTGTGAGGGAGTAAAGAGTGGACAATGTGTATGCACAAAAAAAAAAAAAAATTAAAATAAATAAAAAATAAAGTGCTGTGAAAAGAACGATTTGGACTATCCGGTTCAGGATTGCAAGTTTTCCCACAATTTTGCTTTTTCCATCTTCATGCAACTGATTGTCTTACCAAAGTGCAAAATGACACAACTAAAATGGAGTAAAAAAAAAAAATTCAGCCCTGTTCCCGTGAACGATTTAACGCCTGAATGGTCAACCATCGGCTTGGGTTGACTTTTTTTTTTTTTTTTTTTTTTTTTTTCTCC